TCCACTCGGAGAAAGGACGGGCATATTTCTGCAAAGCGAGAATTAGACAAATAACATCTCTGGCCAGCAAACAAACGCATGAGAAAATAAACAGTTCAAAGAGCAAGTCCATCACGCTTGGTAGGGGTCGAATGTACCAATGAATCTGTGTACAAAATTGAACAATAATGTGTATACCTCGAGTCACGTCTTGCAAATACTTAGGAATACAGCTAGACTGTAAATTGAGCTGGGAAAAATCAAGTCAATTTCGTTGTAGGGAAAGCCTGCGGAAATCTTTACATTTTGTTATGGGGATACTGAAAAAGAGTACAGTGAGAGCCAAAGAACTAGCATATATGTCATTAGAGCGACCTTATATTAGAATATGCGCGGGTATGTTGGGACCCATACAGACTTTATGCAACAAAAAAATTCTAGAAAAAGTCCAGCGTAGAGCATCAAAATTTACTTTCAGGGGTACCAAGAATAAAGGTGATATGGGAGTCACTGCAAAGGAGAAGATTAAATGTCACGTCTCTATGCAATGTATAAAGCGTACACAGGCCTTCGAGCGTTGAAAGAAATTCAAAGTCGATAGGGAAACCTACATATTTCGCAGAGCGGATCACATGCACAAAATTCAGACAAGAATTCAGGAAATAACGTTGGGAATATTTCATTCGCGATCGCACATTAGGTACTGGGAACAGTTTGCCTGTGACAAACCTTCGATCCCTTTCCTCAAAGCCTGAGCAAATTTAAAAAATAAATTAGTTTCTTGAATGTGGCGGATGTCATAAATATATTTAATAAAATTCAGTGCAATTACCTATGTCTTCTTTGTAATTAAGTATATTATTATTATATTGTTTATTAGTGTAATATCATTATTCGCATATTATTATATTATTATTATTATTATTAGTTATTATGTTTATCTTAACATTATTCACAGTATTCTACTGTCCGGTATGGTCAACCACACCACAGACTATGATTGAACCAGGTGTGTGGTTGCGTTTACTGAAACGTTCAGATGGCTTCTGACAATACGCATGTGATTTCAAAATTACGTGTCTTTTGCATTATATACTAATTCCTGTATCCAAGTGAAGACACTCCAGTGACCGACGGTATTTTCGGGATCACTCCCGTAGCTGATTATTATTATAGGTCACAGTCGTCAATTTACTGAATTCCACTGAGTGCGACTGTCATAGGCGCAGATTGGGTTTATACGTTCTTGGATCTTCTCTGATTATTTTT